TCTAAATGAGGACTGAGGTGCTGCCAGGGGGAGCCAGGGCAAGGCTGTCAAGTAGGGAGAAGGGTTGCAGGAAAGCTGGCATGGCTGGCATTCTGAGAGAAGAGCAGTATGAAGCTGGAATACTTTTTAAAAGAAAAGTATGGGAAACAGTTAAAAAAAATTCCACAGGAAAAGTATGCATCATTTTTATATGTAAGTCTACAACTGGCGAACACGAAAGCCACTAAGTTCTGAAGACAGATGTAGTGAGCTCACCTGTGCACCAGTCACCTGAGTGTGAGGCTCTCCACATTCTGTTTGATTGCTTCTATGCTGTATGCCACCATCACTGTGGCATCAGCCATGCAGGTGTGGCTGGGTAGGGGCAGAATAAGCTCCCTCCTAACATTACCTGTCTAGTTTAGATGCTGCTGTTATCACCACAAGTGACACTAATGTTCAGTGAGGGGACAGCAGCACATCCCACACGACACTTCAGAGTAGCACTGGGAGCCTGGCTAGCCATGCACCAATGAGGTTCACTAGCTTCAGTGAGGCTGGTCAAAGTCAAGTGAGGTGTACAGAATGGAACTACCTCCTACCTCTCTAACCACCACCCTCTAACCTCTCACCCTTTCTTCTCATGGCTCTGATACAACACTGCTGGTATAAACACTTGCAGGTCTCAATCACTTGAGGCCAGCTCTCTCTCCCATCCCTGTCACCACGCATCTTCCATCCTCTAGTGTGACAGTTATTTCCTTTAATGTTTAGATCACACAAAGCTCTGCTCTGAGTACATCCCTGCCTAAATGATCTACTTGTTTCCATGGAAGTAGAGTTCTTGAAGGGTCACTTCTCATTTGCTGTCTCAACCACTTTTCTTTAGAGTATCTTTCTCATGGAGCAGTAACTTCTCTGAACAGCTCTCTTAAGGACTAAACAGTGACCAATTGAGAAATACAACTGAAACAACAAGGTTGTTGGTTAAAGGAATTACTGGTGGCAAAAGCTAAGGAATAGACATAGAACACCTAAGAAACAAAAACCACAGGGATAGTGAGGTCATTTTGGAAGGAGCCTCAGTCTGCCCCTGAATGTGAGGGACTTGGGCCAGACAAGATCTTGTGGCCCTTCAGGATCTAGATTGTGGATCTTTAGTCTTCTCTACCCAGATTCTGCCTACTATATTTTCTAGAAAGTAAATACAATGGATTGGGGGCCTGCCCATTTTTTATTTATAATGCTCTAAATATTCTAGTAACTCAAGAGTCCAATTGGCCAGGTACTATCAAAGGGTTAATGTGGATGACAGAAAGAGAGGGGACTGGGCTCAGGTGCTGGCTTGGGTCTTCCTAGTCATAAAGTGGCAGGACAGTGTCAGCTTCTACAGAGCAGGACAAGTGGGATTATACAGTTGCCAGCTACTGACGCAGAATTGTGATGGTGAGACATGTTTATTTCTTAAAATGTTCATAGATGCTCTTCTACTTTTTTTTTTTTTTTAACATTTCTTAGAAAACAAGGTTGCGACCCTTTTCTGGTCATTAGCATCCCTTATGGTTTGACTTTAATTGCTAACCCGATGGTAAACAATCTGCATGTTCTGTATCTACCATGTGATGTTTCATCTACAAACATGTCATGCCCATTTCCTCTGGCCCATAAGAATTAGGCAAGGGCCTGCAATCAGTCTGCAGAAATAAGCCTCTTGTGTTTTGACACTATGCCCCTTCTCTTCAGAAAAGCAAAGTCAACATGCCAATATCTATAGATCCACCATGTTTCTTGAATCTTTGGGCCAAAGAGGGTTGGTTCTGTATTTCCTGATTTACCTGAGGAGACACAGTTGAATATGATTATCATCCCTCAGAGCCACCTTGAGGCTTTGTCTAAGACAAAACAGGGTGAAGATACAAAAACAGATCCAGTTCCCCAGGACGTAAGAAACTGAAGTCTCTAAAGCTTGGGTATACAGGAATAGTGATGAATGCTATCTGGGTAAACAAACCGAATGGTCAAAAACTATTAATTGGTCATTTCCCATTATTGTGAACAGCAGAACTCTTCACTTCTAGATCTTATTCTGCCATTTTTGGGCCAGGCTGGGGGTGGTAGGGGTATCACTTCATTTTTCAATGTTTTAAAAAATAAAACATTAGGCTGGGGATATAGCTTATTAACAGAGCAGTTGTCTAGTGTACACAGATTCTAGGATCTCTCTCTAGCAACTGCAGAGGGGCCAGGAACGACTACACAGATACTCTGGCATCATAAAGGGCCACAATTTATGACAATAACATAGGAAGAAGTCCTTCTCTCCCAGGCAGCAATATCCAAAACCTTAAAATAGGGCTGGTGGAGTGGCTCAAGTGGTAGAGCGCTTGCATAGCAAGCGCGAGGCCCCCAGTACTGCAAAACAAAACAAAACAAACAAAACAAAAAACCAAAACCTTAAAATAATCTCTGTATTTTTAAAAAGTTTTTAAGACTGTAGAACTCTACCCTTAGTGCTATGAACATGGGAATGTTGGTCCTTCAGCTACTGTCTGCAAAATGAGTTGCAAAACTGTCTGAAGGATTTGTTATAGCAGGGAATATGGAAAGGGGACTAAAAATGAAAAACAGAAATGTGTGACTGCATGTTTTTGCCTTTAATATTTTTGTCTGTTGTGTCATCTGAATAGCATTTTTTGTTGTTATTGTTGAGGTTAAGGACACGTAACATGAGACCTGCTCCCTTAAAAAACTGATATGCAAAATCTGGTGTTAACAACAGACACGCTGTTGTACAGCACACCTCTAGAACTTACATGCCACAACTGTAACTCCCCATCCCCCCATTCCACTCCCTGACAACCACCATCTCACTGTCCATGAATTTGACCATTTTAGATGCCTCTTCTAAGTGGGATCATGCAGTATTTGTCCTATGACTGATTTCTTGCACTTACCATAATGAATTGAGTGTTTCTTAAACAGCTAAGTGAAATCTTTATCAAGAAGTCAGTTGATTGAAAGTATAAGGTCTTAGGCTAAAGATGTCCTGATTGTAAGTCGGTAACACAATGCTCCCACACTGTATGATACAATCCCCGAAAGTCTTTCAACAGAGAATGTGGCTAGACCTTACCTAAGAGTTTTATGTTAGTATAATTAGAGACTATCTTTGCATCACAAGTAATCCTCTTTTGTTATAAAGTTTCCTACAATTGAAACTGGTCAAAAAATTCAATAATCAGATTAAGTCATTTACTAGTGTGCCCTGAACTGGTTTCTTTTTTATTTGCCAAGAAAGAACTTGTCTCTAAGTTAAAGATGAACATAAAATGGAAGCATCCAGGAGTGCATTTAAATTGGAGGCTAGAGGCTGGCAAAAATGTACAGTATTAGTGCTGAAAGCTAAGGGCCAGGGAGGCCAGCAAGATTACATGTGCGGAGTAGCCTGTCTAACAAACAAACTGAAAGGGAAGTAATCCATGTTTAGTGACTGGAGAAAACTGTGATCTCCAACAAAAGATGCTTAGCAGAGAAGACAGGAGAAACCACTCGTGAACATTTATGCTGGTTAACAAGAAACATTTACTTAACGTAGGATTAGTCTGGCATAAAGAGGAAAATCTTAAGGACTACAGTAATGTAAAAATGTCACCTCTTCCACTTTCCAATTAGTGCTTTAGACACTCAGAAGTAAACAGTCCTAAAACAGGGGTATTAAAAACTAGGAACTCTAGAAATCTGGAAGCATTACAAGGTGAACCCTATGAAGCTGCCATTTTTTTTTTTTTGTACATAAAAAGTTCAAATGTTGGAAATTTCACATGGTGCAACCAAAAAAAAAAAAAAAGTGGGGGGGAGACACTCACTGATTCAATGCTAAGAATAAAAACCTGAAGACATGCTAATATTTTGTGGTTTCAAAAAAGAGGTTTACTATGGCAGAAGAGTACTACTAAAGCAGGAATAGAATTTTTAATGTTCTATGTCAAATTTATACCTCACATCAAAGTGTAGATTAAGTATGCACTTAAATAAGCCTAAAAAACAAAAATTCCCATGTAAAACAATCCTTTTTCATTTTCTACCTAAACTATAATAACATCCATTACTAATAAAATTCTATTCCTAATAGATTTCTCCATCCTTCTTGCTTGATCCCTGAACCCAGCTATTAATGGTAAAACTTCAAGCACAAAGTCCGTCTTTGCCCCCTTGTGAGTCTGTTACTCCAGGCTTTCTCCTACTCACTCCAACCCTTCTCTTCTGCTCTACTTTCTTCCATCCTTGGCACAGTGAGAGTCCCATCTGTCATGTCGGGTTCCCCCACCTCTTTCCTCTTAATACATCAGTGATCTAATCTTTCCTGCATAGAAGGTGGTCATTCTATGAGCCCTGGTCGCTTTGCCTTTTCCATGTAAGAAGGACTGTTTTCTTTAAGCAATGCATGCCAGATTTCGTCATGCAACTTTCTACTTTTGCCTTATCTAGGTCTTGGTGACGTTCTCAAAGACAGTTTCTCCTATAAGGCTTCACTAAATAGAATCTGAATTTTATCAGTGAAGATAATTTTACATGAGGCATTGCACACATATCCAACTTAAGTATTAGAATAAAGGCATGTGTCTGTTCTAGGTCTGTTTCCATGTATAGGGATATATTCTTTCTGGCACACAAAACAGCGAGCCCTGTGTGGTGATATTTCAGAGGTCTTTCATTTAAAAATTAAACTTCCAGGACTCAGAAAGATGGGTATACGGTTGGAGCGAATTCTAACACGTTGTTAAATATTAGGGGTATAATTTAAACAGGAAAGGGGAGCTCCAAGCATCTTCAACATTTTTTGGTAATGGTAAGTTTTGGACCACACAAGGTACATTTCTGACTCATTCTATTGGGTTCAGTCATTTTCACCCTTTGATTTTTTTTCCCTGCAAGTGTAGAAACCTACATGGGGATGTCACCAGCAGACTGACAAGACTTAACACTCCAGTATTTTGAACCACCCCCCTGCATTCACATACCTGGAGTTTGCTATTTCCACTTTGGTTCTTGCCATGGCGGCTGCCCTTTGCGCGCCTTCAATTGCTCTGTCCACCTTCTCCCTAGTTTTTGTATTTCTTATGGGTATAAGCTGCTTCCTTATTCCACGGACCAGAATATTATTTTTGTATTTTCCCTCTTCTTTGGAGCCATCAGGAAACACAGTGCAGCCATATCCATGCCTCTTGTTGTTTGCCCACTCGCCTTCGTACTTCATGCCATTGGAGCGCTCACTGATGCCGAAACCATTGCGCTTGTCATTCTTCCACTCGCCCATGTAGGTTTCTGTGGTGGTGGCGTCCACGTGGTCTTCCACCGGGCAAAAATCACAGTCGACGTCGCCGAAGCTGATGGTGGAGTTGGCATCGCTGGAACTAATTCTGCTCATGGCTGCATCACTGCGCACCGAGCTGCGCTTGCTGGAGATGGAAGACTTGGACTCAGACTTGCGGAGTTTCATGCTGCCCAGGAGGGAGCCCCTGCGGAACAGGCCGCCCTTCTTCTTGCCCAGCTCAGCATCGGCATGGAAGTTGAGCACGAAGCCACCCCGGGTGCCCGCGGGGCTGTCGGCCGCTGCCGCGGCGTCGTGCAGGACGCTGCCATTGCTCTGCTCGCTGCGCAGCGAGGCCAGCGACGTGCGCAGCGGAGAGCGGATCACCGTGGCCATGCCGTAGGGCACACTTTGGCGCACGCCATAGCCGTGTCGCATGCCTCCGGCCCACTGGCCCTGGTAGGTACCTTGGAAAGACCCAGGAGAGAACAGCGTGAGGCCGGGGGGAGCTCAAGGTCGCCTGCACGCACCACCAGTCCAAGGTCAAATCCCACCCGCCTCCTGACAATACTTTTCATCTCTTGTCATCTTGACTTCTTAGCTTTAATGCAATTGTATGGGATTTTCCAATAGTCTGGTAACTTTTGCTTTTCACTTAAACATTTACGTGAGCTCTTCACTTGAGAACCACTCCTTTCTAATACAAAAAGAATAATGAAATTAAAGTATCGGAAAATCTTGGGAAGCCAGTGGAACAGCAAATGAAGAGTCTATTTGTGTGTGTGGCTTCCCCCCCCCCCCCAAATTTTACTAATTTAGCTAAAAAAATTAAAAAATGACTTTTACGGCTATGCCAGTAAAACACTGCAATAAGCACAAAGGCTGAAAATTAGTAACAGTGATCTGAATACTTTTGTGTCAAAGGCTGTTCAAACAAATGGTCTGCGTGGAACCCTCTATTTAGGGTAGGGAAAATCCTATCTAGGATTAATAACTGGGCTTCGGTGTACCTTTGAGCAGTTACTTGACAAATACAGCATCCATCCATAGTACAGTGAACCATTAATATTAAACCAGTTTAATTTTTGTCCAAGTAAAAAAGTTAAGTTTTGTACATTATTTGCTAAATCTCTGCTTTTTCCTTATGGATCTCCCTAGCATTAGCTACAATGCTGTGAATCACATCACAGACTGGCAGCACCCTGAGGGCAGGAAATACCGCACAAAGCAACACAGAATCTCCAAACACATTGCTTTTGTGTCCTGTGGATTCTGGGTGTTTGATGACTATGTTTAAACAACCACAATGGCTAAAAATGGTACATCCTTTAGCCTTGGAGAAACTGATGAGATAGGCTAGAGGAAACCTTGCCTCTCTCTTACCTTGACAGACTTGAACTTTGAGCAAAGGTGTAGTCGATAGTGTCCAATCAATCACTTTTTCAATGACTATTAAGCCTTTTCAGCATTAGGTAATCTCTAAAGCATTTGTTTTTTGCAACTTTCTCTACTAAATAAGCAAAGATATTTAAAAAAAAAAGAATCTGGTACAGGCTTTTAAATAATCTTTGGAGAAAATGAAGGTTAACAATTAAGGAATGTAGAATTTTCTTTACAAAGTTAAGGCCATTTCCTTTAACTAAAGGCAAGTTTTACATTATAGTATCCCTCAGAAGCAGCTATCTTGAAAATTTTAAATGTAGTTACTGTTATTCGTAACAGTTCTCAGTGTCACAGAAAATAAATAATTAAACCAAAAGTTTGGACAGATTTCATGATTGCCTTCTCTTTCTTTCATTCTGACATATTTATGTCAACAGCAGGTTGACAATAAAACTAAGTGGTTCTATTACTATGAATGTTATATAATGAGTAAATGTGAAGTCTATGAACTAACTTCTGGGTCACAGCTCTCTCAAAAGATAAATCCTAAAGGATAAGACAGAGTATCTAAAAAGCATTCAGGATGAGAAGCTTCTTAAGGAACAGCAGCCATCTCTGAACACTACCCACCTCACCAGGAAAGGGAACTGAATAATTAGGAAGTATCAACTTTGACTTTCCTTTTGCCTGTATAAAATCCAGGATAAAAGGTGTATATGACTTATACATACTAAAAATACCTTATCTTTAGTATTTTGTTCCATTAAAAATGCTATGTCATATCCTAACTTTTCTACCTAACAAAAAGCTTCTTTTGCTAGAATAATTTGTAAAGATGTTATTTGATATCAAGTATTTATACTTTTAAAACCTAACCATATATCTGAGTAAATGTTTAACACTGATGGGAAATTAATAGGTAGTTTCCTCAAACTGATATTTCCAGAAGTAGAGCCAGTATTTAGAATTTCCAAAGAAGTATTGCTTGAAAATTCAGGCTACTTAAGGAATAGCAATAATTAGAAAGTTTAACTCTCTGCTTGACTATCCAATAAGGACAGAGTGGGGAGTGACAGCATTGGCTACATTCTCCTTTTATTTTGTTAAATCACAGTATGGGCAAGAATTCCTCAGGGCATTGCTAGTAACTAATTTATAGTCAGATGCTTAGCAGTTCATCTGAAATTTAAAATAGATTTAGTTTAGTCAGTGAACCTAGAAAAAAGGGGCCTATTTCTTTCTGAAGCAGGTGGGTTACAACTTCTTCCTGCTGCTCAAATAAAGTCAAGTTCCCCTTCATTTCTAAAGTAGAGATGCATATTTCACAAGTGTAAAAATCATTTCTACAGATTTTCTTGTAAATTGTGTTCATTTTGGGAGCTAATTTTTAAGCTCTAGCCATTTTAACTGCACAATCTTGAAATGGAAGGCATCCAGTTTTGAATGAATTTTAGTCAAATTTGGACTTCTCTATGCAAACTTAAGTTTCTATGCTTCGAATGGCTATGAGCAAGTACAAATACAGTTAACAAAACTATGGGGATCCCTAGATGTTTTCCACGGTTTTCTGAAAAGTGAAAAAACAAATTACAAAAGATCACAATTTGTGCAAAAAAAAAAGAATTACAAGCACCTACACTTGGATGAGCACGGTACTAATCTGTTCTTAATATTCAGGGGTTTCTATTTCAGCAACACTAAATCACTGATAAATGATATTTCTCACATGAAATTACTGCTTCCTTCTCTAATACATCATAAAAAACACAGACTCAGAGTCTTCCTAAAACTGATAGAGGGTGGATCTGTTGTGATATGGAGAAACAGGCTAAGCTCTTAAAAGTCAGAACAGGGAAAGTGATATTCCTATTTGGACCAAAACCTTTGTATGAAATAAGTTATAGCAATATAGTATTTCCACTTAAGACCATTTTGTGACTATAGTGTAATAAAATGAAGTGACAGGAGGAAAAACAGAAAATTGACTAACAGAGAGAGGGCACTGAAAAGTAATTTTGTAAGTTTTTCTTCTTCCTAATTGCAGGACAGTAGGGTATTAGGGTCCCCCCGCCCTTGCTTTTTTTTTTTTTTTTTTTTTGGTAGAAGAAAACCACAGTAACTATGCAGATGCCCAATTTTAACATTTAAGAAAAATTTTAAGTTACTTTTAAAACACAAGGCAGATCATTCATAAAAGTCATTCTAGAGACTTATTTGGGCTTCTTCAACACAGATACACAGTTGACTTTTACTGTGCTATATATATTTTGATTACTAGGTATAATGAATACTCTAAACCAAGAGATTTTGTTTAATGAGTAGTAACTTTAAAAGACTATTTTTAACCTTTCAAAATTGAAGTGAGAACTATCCACGCCTTCTAAAAGGGTTATAAAATGCCTGTTTTAAAAAAAAGTACTGCATTCCACTTTCGAGCATAGAATTTAGGCATATGGGAGAGCAGTGGCCTCCAATAAAATCCAATCACAAACCAACATAGGGCTTGTGACCAACTCATATTATGTTCATTCATGAACCTAATAAGCTAGTGTGGAACTCAGAACTCATACAGCCCACAGAAAAGTATTAAATTTTTTTTTCTTTTTAATCCATGAGAACCATATCCTTTATTTATACTGTAGGATGAAAAGATGTCCTTTTTAGCAAATCCCACCATTCTGCTGTTTTGCATTTGAAACACAGCCCAAGTGTTCTGAGTAAGTGAAGTGTACAAATTGTATAAGCTTTTATATAAGCAACTGCATAACTGGGGTTGCAGTGGGCTGGATAAACTTTTAATTGGATTCCTTTCATATCTTCCAACTTTGGGCGGCTTAATTCCAAAAGGTGACATCGCCTCCTACAATCTTTTGCAATTAATTCTGATTGCTTGTTATCAGAAAATGTACTTCATCAAAGCACGAGCCATTCATCTTTCTCAGCTTTGTATACAAAGAAATTCATCAAGTTTTGACACCCGTTCCAATAATGTGTACTTTTCCAAATACTGCTAAATGTAAAAATAAGGTGACTTTTGTTCACAGTCTGGCATACTGTTTAGGTTTATATGCTTTAATGCAAATCAGTGATTGAGTACTGCCATTCCCAGAAGCAAAGTAGTTGTTAAGTTAGCAGGTATAGAAACACAATTTTCAACTGTGTGTGTATATATATATATATATATATTTTTTTTTTTTCTTAAATGCAACTTCGCTGCCCATTCTAAAACATTTCCTCAGTGATCTGTCCAAAGATCTCCCGGTCAGCAATTCTATTGATCGAAAAGCAATCCAACTGAATGGAAGGAAACTAGGAAGAAAAACCCGCACCCTCTGAAATCCACCTGTCCGCTGCTCCCACAACTTGGACGTTTCCAAATGCTCGCTCCATAACGTTCAATTCCCCAACATCTTAGTTATGGGGTTCTGGCTTCTATCTTTAGGCTACTAGAAGCGAAATACGAGACTCCACGTGAAACCAATCCGCGCAGCGGCCAGCCGGCACCGGCAGCCTCATCAGCCTCACCAGCCCAGGGCGCCCGCTCCAACTCCACGGGAGTGACGATTTCAAACCCGGCCGGGAGAGGGAGGGATCTAGAACGTAATGTGACGGGCTCAAGTGACAGCGTCCTCGCTCCAGTCCAACCCTCCGGGTGGCAGGGTGGTACGGGTCAGGTACATCCACGTCTCGCTCCCCCGGGTGTGGACGCACCGCGATCAGGGTCACCCCAAACTCGAGCGCACCAGGCGCGTCCCAACGCCCCCCTCCAGGGAAGTGGGTGGGAGGCCGCCCAGGTGTTTTGGCGGGTTTCCGGACACGTGCGCCTCGCGTCCTGCCCGCCTCCCCGCCCGCGACGCCGCTCACCTCCGTCCCCGTAGGTCTCCACGCCGTACCCGTCCTGCAGCCCGTTACTCCAGGTACCCTCGTAGCGAGCGGGGGTGCACAGGCTCTGCCGGACCCCGTAGCGCCCCTTGAAACCATGTGACCACTCCCCCCGGTACATCCACTTGCCCTTCGTCTCCACCCCCAGCCCGTGCCGCTTGCCCTGCGCCCAGTAGCCCTGGTAGGTGTTGCCGCTGGGCCAGGTGTAGCCTCCGACCACCTCGAAGCCGTGCGACCAGGAGCCCGAGTACTCGCCCTGGCCCTTGGGCCCCGTGCAGATGCCATGCCCGTGCGCCTTGCCCTCCTCCCAGCCGCCGCAGTAGGTGCCGCCATCGTCGAAGTCGAACCTTCCGCCCGTCATTCGGGGGGCAGCCCCGGCGCGCTCCCCGCGGGGGCACGGACGCAGGGCACGGCAGGGTGTAGCTCGGGGGTGGGGGCCCGGCGGGCGAGCTCACGACTGCGCCCCGAGCAGCTCGCGCCGCCGCTCGGCTCCAGTCCGACGCCGCCCCCGTCCTCCCCTCCTCTTTCGCCGCCGCCACCGCCGCCTTTCTCCTCCTCCTCCTCCTCCTTCGCCGCCGCCGCCCCGGCCAGCGCCGCGCGCGAGAGGACAGCCCAGGCAGCCGAGCGGACCTTCAGCTGCTCCCGCCCGCCCACGTGAGCCGGGCGCCGCCCCGCGCCCGCCCCTCGTCCCCTCCCTGGGCGCCGAGGCCCTGCCCCGCGGCGCTCCCGCCCCACCGGGCCCTGCCCCCAGCCCCCGGGAGCCTTGCTTCCCGGGCGGGCGTTGTGGGCGCGCGTGTGATCGCGCGGGGGGATGCCGGTAGGAGGACAAGTGTGCCCGGCGACAATCACGCCCCGCAGATGAAGGCGCCCCTGCCTGCCTGGGTGGGGGCAGCTCGAGCGCGGGCGCTGGAGCCTCCCGTGCAGGGTTTTTCAATTGTGGTTAAGCTCCTGTAAGTGCGGCCACGTGTGTGAGCAGGGAAAACTCCTTGTATCTGTGTTTGTGTGCATGGGGTTTGGAAGTTGCATTCCACCCCCCACCCAGCATTGCAACTTGTGTACTCTTGAGTTTGCCTTGCTCAGCTGTCATCATGAACTAATATTCTCCAAATATATACAAGTTGTGCAGAATGTTCTTGTACACTCAACCCATTTCAAAGCACATATGTTTGTATTTGTTTAATGATGATACCGAGGGAAAACAGTGCAATTGGAAAAAGCACAGAATAAATTGGTTAGTTTTTTACTTGTAGTGACAAAGAGGAGATAGTAAATCTGTCTTTGCAGTGGTATGGGATATTTCTTTCTACATTAAAGCTCTTTCCCCCTAATCCTCATTTGTTCTTCTTTGCAGTCTTAAGAATTCTTCAGCCTGGACCTGTGTGTCCTTAGAGCAGATAGCTTATATAAGTTCCTGTAATGCACATACACCTGTATCTCTCCACTGGTATCCACGGTTTAAGAAAGTAAATGGAAGTTTTCAAGGAGGAATATGGTAAGTAAAACACTGCTGTAAACTTACAAAGAGGGTGCGACCTACAAAACCAGGGACAGACATCGGCTGATCCACTTTCCAGCTGCAATACTACCTTGTTGAATTCATTTTAGACACTTCTAAACTTTTAGACCTCTTTTTTTTTTTTAAACCATTTTCTGAATGGAAGTCACTGGATTTGCCGTTCCCTTTCCATGTTAGGTAGTAACTGGATATATTTTTAGTGCAGTGACCAGTGAAGGATTTGAAATTTGGCAAGAGGCAAGTTGAATCAGTCAGTATTGCCTCTCCTGAGAAGAAGTATTGATCTCAACCTCATCCTCAAAATACCCAATGGGAGACAAGTCTTCCAAGTTCACATCCAGGGGTCTTAGGTTGGCCTAAGAGCTGCTTTTCAGAGTATTCCTGTTATTCCTTAGGCTGAGAGGCCTTTCATAACTGGGTGAGCACCAGACGTGCGCTTGGTATTTGATAATCAGATAAAAATATAAGGACAGGTGTCAGGAAGGTAGCAGGGGAAAAGTAGACTTTTCTGCATTGAATTGCACTGAAATTGACCTTGATCATCTCTCTCAGAGGTGGAGCTGGCCTTTCCTGCTTATCTGTCTGAAAGACTGAAAGAAAAATCTCAGTTTACACTGAGCCAAATCACCAAAGAGAATTAGAAACTCTCATCCATGGCGCTGCCCACAGAGTTGCCAGGAATAGTGCTTACCCTAGTGGCCTGAAATAATTAGGCATCTCACTCAGCGCCTTGTCCTGGACTGGGGATTGATTTAGGCCACTGGGAAAAGGAGGGCCCAGGGCTTTGCAGCTGAGCCATAGTTCCATTTCTCTGTTATGGGATACACTAGAATAAAAAGCTAACACAAACAGCCACATTCCCATCTATTGTGGGGTTGTTTGATAGTTGAAACAGTGTGGCTGCTCAAGCTAACGGTTTTTTTTCCTTTTTTTTTTTGTGGTGCTGGGGATTGAACCCAGGGCCCTCCGCTTTTCAACTGGCTTTCTTCACAGAGTAAGCTTTCTGTCTTTTGCTTATTGTTTGTTTTGGAGCTTAGACCCAATGTGTTAGAACACATGTTCTTTAAATGTTTAGTTTTTTAATTAGCTAGCATTTGTTGCCCTTAATGCAGAGAAACTAAAGCAGATACCTTAAAAGCAACTGAGGCCAATAGGAAAAGGGGACCAGGAACTAGAGAAAAGGTTAGATCAAAAAGAATTAACCTAGAAGGTAACACACACGCACAGGAAATCAATGTGAGTCAATGCCCTGTATAGCTATACTTATCTCAACTAGCAAAAACCCTTGTTCCTTCCTATTATTGCTTATACTCTCTCTACAACAAAATTAGAAATAAGGGCAAAATAGTTTCTGCTGAGTATTGAGGGGGTGGGGGGGAGAGGGAGGGGGTGGAGTGGGTTGCAAGGGAGGGAGTGGGGGCAGGGGGGAGAAATGACCCAAGCCTTGTATGCACATATGAATAATAAAAGAAAAAAAATAATAAATAAATGTTTAGTTTTTGAAGCATTCATTTTTTATTTATTTTCTTATTTTCACACAAATAAGGGCTTTTCTGGTATATAATGCACAGAGCAAGTTTCTGTTCTGTAATAGCTTTCTAGTCCATTTATGGTGGAATAACAAAGGATGATGTTGCACATACATCTGAGTGTAGATATAGAGGTTTGGGTAGAATAATAAACAAGACCATTTATTTCTTCTGGCTAGCTCTAATAGATTTCTTCCTTGGAAAGACCCTAAGTAAAAGTGAGAATCTTCTACCAGATAGGTGCTATTAAATTCCAACTAAACTTAATCCTAACCTGACTCTGTTAGTGGCTCTTTTTTATGGAAGAAAGTTTGTATTGAAGTTTTGGTGTTTTACTGAACAGTTTTTGGGTAGAGTATAAGCCATGCTTATATGTATTTATAAGCCTGCTGCCATCACAGTGGAATGCTTCCCCATCTCATAGATGTGTCAAAGTAAGTGGTGAGGTTTTGTGGCCTTGGTTGGAGAAGAAGGGGAAGAGAACTAGGAAGAAGAAGAGCTTCTGAGAATGGTGACATAGCAGATGGTAAGGCAGTAGAATAATTTTGCAGTTTAGTACTCAGGGTTAGTAATGTCCTTATTTTCCCTCTCTCTCTGAACCTTTGCCCTGGGTAAGGGGGTTGAATTTAGCTTTAAGAAGGGATTAGCAAGAAGAGAATGTGAAGGTTGGTGTGACAGGTGGGACGGGGGAGGCCATGAAAGCTCAGGGATCAACAACCAGTCTAGCAGTTCATTTTCCTCCACGCTTAAAACCCAGCTATTGTATGTTTCCATCCTAAAAACTTTTATCACAGCTAAATGGGAAGACACTGTGAGTGTGACTATGTCAGTTAACATTGGCAAGGAGTTTTTGTCTTGAATTTAATGATGGTATATTAATGAAAATGTAGTTAAAACTTATTGGTGTTTTCATTTCCTTGCTAGAATTAGTTATTGAGAATTTTTATTAAAAATTTACAAATGACAAAAATGCTAATCTGTAGGTGCTCATTGTCCAAAAGACATGAATTAAATTGTTTAAAAGGCACACACGATTAAAATTACTTGATGTAAATTCAAATTTTATATTATCAAAATAATTAGATTATTTGTATCGATCCAAGCATTCATAAAGATTTAAGAAATTTGCCTGTAATATACTTCAAAAATTAAAAAATATGGTTATAAGCTTTGTGGACAGCATGAAATCAGAAGAGAATTCCAGAATTAATGGTATTCAAATCTTTTAAGGCAACTCCTCTGTGCCAGGAACTATGCTAAATTCTTTATATGTATTAATTTATTTAAAATTCACAATAACTGCATAGGATTAGTACTAATGTTACAACCATCTTCAGGAAAGAGGAAATATAGGTTAGGACATTTGTGTGCCTGGGATTACTCAAAGAGAAATGGGTGAACTAGGATTCAGATCCAGGTCTGGGTGATTCTTGAGGAAGCTTTTTATTGCTGTCCTTTATTGGACTGAGGGTGAGAGCTCATTTTAAGTTCTTAAATTGGGGGCGGGAGGAGGGATTAAGCAAGAAGAGGTGGTAAAGAGTTTTGTTCCTCATGTTTGTAGAATAACTGCCTGGGCAAATTGTAACGCTACTGTGTAGAATTTAAAAACCAAGATGGAGGAAGAAGAGTAAATTACAGAAGTTGAGGAAGACACATTCCTTTAGGAGAGAATGACCCTGAGACACACAGCAGAGTTGGGGTTGTAGCTGAGTGATGGGGTGCCTGCCTAGCATGCATGAGGCCCTGAATTCTGTCCCCAGCACTGCAAATAAACAAACAAAACCCAGAAATATCCACCAGAGGAGATGTTCAGTAGGCAATTGGGTGAAGGAGTTCAAAAATTAAAAGTTGAGAAGTAAATACTCTGGTAGTTTTTCCTCTCAGCAGTGCCTCCTTTTGACACTTGAACTATTCACTTACAACACTGGTGTTGTCAGCATCTTGTCTAGGTCATCCCCTGTATTCTTCCCGGGCTGATGGCTCATCCACACTTCTGTATGATGTCCCCCGCCATTATCTTGGGCAGCTTCATCCTGGTCTCAGAATCCATTGCTTTTTGCAGCTTCATGACTTTCATATTAAAATTCACTTCCTCAGACATAGCCTGGCACTGACTTTGACCTAGACGTAGGCCGGTTCTGAGGCTGGAACTTCACAGTTTCATTCTTTAACACCATTCGCTTGTGTTTCCCACTCTCTGAACAAACCTTCAACTCTTACCAAAGTCTTCACTCCTTTGCTGTCCTCCCCGTCTTCATGGCCCTTGCCTACCCTGTCCACAGACCCTTGAATGTCATTTCTACCACACTATTGCTGGCAGTCAGTTTCCTTTTCATAGTGGTCTCCTGGTGCATCTGTCTGGCTAGTTTCCAATTCTAAACCAGCATTTCTTATCTCCTGCTCTTAGGAACTCCTTTTGGAGTTCATGCCATTTACGAATTGACACTGCAAATCATGGTTGTGAGCCATGGGCAGACCACCCACAACACATGGCAGACCTTTTCCCAGGCAGCTCTAGATGTTTATCACTGTCCTTGAGCCCCTTTCAGTCCCAGCCCTCTTCTTCTGAGCAGAGGACCTTGTCTTTTCCCTCACAAAGAAAA